GGGCGGGGGATGTCTGAATGCAGGCACACGGCAGGAGGGGCCGTTCTGCGGGGGCAGACCCCGCTGTTTGGGTGGTTGGTGTCTTGTTAGACGCCGCCTGCTGCCTGCGAGGCACGTCCACCGCAGCAGCTACACCTTTAACTGGAGACTCGGACAGAATATTCTGGTTGATTCTGTCTCCTTGGTCGTCTCCAACCGATGCGCGGGGCCTTCCACCAGGGATGACTTGTAGGTCTTTGCTTTCTGTCTTCACCTTGTGTCTGTAAATTTGGACTTCACCACCAGACGCTGACCAACGCTGCTCTGCAGCGACGCAGGGCTTCGTGGAGCTTTTCTTACGATTTTCTCTGCGTGGTGGTTCATCATACAACACAGAGATGGTGTCACCTTTCTGCTGGGTGACCCCTGGGGATCTGCTATGGGCCCCTGTGCTGACAACACCTGCTTTAGGCCCCTCAGAAGACGGGGCCATCCGGAACCTCTTTACACCTGAATTGGCTTCCCTTGATGAAGCCTCCGAAAATGTCAACGTCTTTCTCCTTTCTACAGCTTCATTCTCTTCTCTTCTGAGGTCCAGCTTCCCACACGGCCAGTAGTAGGCGTGTCCAAGCCCACACATCCACAGAACGGAACTTTCGCAGCCGGGGCGCCCCACGTCCTGCAGGATCTCCAGGGCTGGGATTTGGCTGCAGATGGCCCCGTGGGTGTGCGCCCAGGCCACGAGGTTGGAGAGATCCGTAGAGAGCGAGCCGACATTGCCGGACCTGCCGTCACCGACGCTCCTGTCCTGTAAGAACACAGGGAAGATGACTTAAGTGAACGAGGCTGTGCAGGAAGGAGCAGTCCTGGGGACTGCTTCTAGCCCCATCTCAACGGAGCAATAATGGGCTTTGAAAAGAATCAACAGGGCTTGTCTTTATTCCGGCTGTGCAAACGGCAGCCCTACTCGCACCAAAGGGCAATTGTTGTGTTCAGAAGCTTAAAAATGGACTTTGCATCCACGTATTTACAACTTGTCTTTTAAAAAACCCTACAGTTTTTAATGGTGTAATTCATTCCGATAGAAACAATTGCCTGCAGTATCACTTAGGCTATAAAAGAATACTCACCATGCTGCTGGGTTTTGTCTCACTGAGCCTTCTCCCAGGTGGAGATCAAAAAGTGACTGAATATTCTTTCTTTCTCTCTCAGAACCTAAAATAATCATCATACAAGTGTATGTGCTGTATATATATATATTTTTTTTTTAAATCTGCCTAGCAGATGCAACTAAATTTTTCAATGCTTGGCCCAAAATAAATGCTCCTGCAGAACACGTGCCCTCGTTAAGATGAGCTCCCATTGGGCTCCAGTCACTATACAGAGAAAACTTGACTGGTGTAAATATTTGCAGCATTAGCCTCTACACTGTAGCAATCAAAGCTGAAACAAAATATAAATGTTGAAACAAAATGTAAATATTGCAGATAGAGTTTTAAACCCCAGACTCGGCTGGATGTTCCTCCCAGCACGGGGAACCTTCCCTCCTCCGAGCAGAACCAGAAGCTGCAGACACAGGGAGGCTGCTCCCCATCCTGACACCGACTGTTCAAACAGCAAAAGGAGAGGATGTCTCCCCAGTACAGAGTTCTTTGCGCACGTGCTAGCTTGTGAAATGCGCAAAGCTGGCATTTTCAAAGAATTTTTACCCAAATCCGCTGCTTGCTTTAAACAGAAAACAGATCCACCCCACCCTGTTCCAAAGCAGCGAGCGCCTTCTGAGCTCCTGACCTCTCTCCATCTGGGCAGCGCCGGGGATCTGCCGGCACCGCGACCCCAAAAACGGGCTCTGCCCGAGCTCCTCGCGCGCCCGGCCGGTCTCCAGAGCTGCCCAGGGCAGGGAATGCACAGCCTGTCCCCAGCAAGCTGGACGTTAAGCTTGCCCCAGAACCGTTTTTCCCTCCTGAGGTCAAGGAGAACTTTATCTGCGGGTTCAGCCTGTGTAATTCCTCCCTCAAGGGCTCGGCGGCCCGGACAGACTGAAAGGAACTTTCATGCCGACAGCTCGGTGCCTACAGTGAGTGTGGGAAAAGGTAACAGGAGCGGAAGCTCGGCGTGGTTATAAGGCCACGAAATTACTGACTTGGCAGATGAACATCTTGATTTCTATCATGGGCCTCTTCAAATGGAATGCTTTTATCTTTCCTTATCTCCAAGCACATGTCTTCCTTTTCCGGATCTCTTTGAAAAAAAAAGCCTTTTTTCTTTTGATATTTAGTTGTATTTGCAACTGTGGTCATCAGCTCAGGACACTCCTTGGGCCCACTCCTGCTCCCCGACGTACATCAGCTGAGACCCCTCCACAGAAACCATCCAGTGCGACGAGTTGGAATCTACAGTCAGAATCGGGCGGCACAAAATGAAACGTATTCACCCACAAAGGCCGAGCTGACACACGTCTCATCTCAGTTAATAAAAATCCACCTTGATCACTGCCCCAGTCTTTGCCCACTTCCAGTGAAACCGGGACCCCTGAGGGGGAGGGTTCTGGGGCTGGGGGCTGAGTTTTGGCCTGAAACCTTGTGCCTGGTTCGGTGTCTGCAGGGCTGTTGTAATTATCTTTCCAGGAGAGGCTCCCATCTGATAACGGACCCCGCGCACGCAGGACCCACACCTTTGTGCAGAAAAACAGGACATTCCAGAGCTCTACGGTAAATGTTTTCTTTCCATTTTCTTTAACCCATAGGGAATTTAGTGCACTAATATAACCTATAGTTAAGTGGATTTGTGCTCACTAGAGGAAAAAAAGTTGTTTGGAAAAAAATCTGCAAGATTTTGCTTTCTGATGTGCCTGGTCTACAGAGCAAGCTTTCCAGCTGTCAGCACGGTACATGCTTATTTTACCCCTGTATTCAAGGAAATGTGGCCAAGTGATTTCAGAGCAGTCTGTGGCATTTCAGCGGAGCTCTTAAAAACTCAAGGCTGACTGAAAGCACCAAACTGCTTATTTTGTTTGGAGACTTTCCTGTGTCCAGTTTGAGCCCTTGGTGGGAAGCGAACACACTTGGCCCTTTCTGAAAATGATTCTCCTGCCAAACTCGCGTACCTGGAACCACCCGAGGACGCCTGAGCGGGCTCTGCGCAGCGCCCCGGTGTGCCCAGGGTTCTCTGAAAGCCCCTGTGACAGACCCAGGCTTACGCAGGCAGGATGCACAAACACAGAAACTAATCAGAGAGGCACCGAGAGCCCTTTAACCACTTTGTTCCTGTGTCTCCACCCTGTAATAGCCCAGCTGTATTCTTAGGACAGATTAGAAACCTGAGGCACGCACAAAGCAAGTAAACAGGGGAGCTCTGGCTTTCCAGCTCCAGATAAGACAGTGCAGGAACTGAACGATCCCGGTAGGAAAACAACAGGATACAGAGCAGCAGTTCTTCAGCCGGACTCCCGCCCCTTCCCAGGCTCCCGCTCGCTTGAGCAGCACTCGCTGGAGGTGGGGGCACGGCACAGCCTCAATTCCCCCCCGGAGGGACACGTCACCCCCGGTGCCTGGAGCTGGGCGAGGGCCTCAGCCGGGGCGGCAGCGAGCTGGAGCTGGGCCCAGACACCGCTGGCTGCAAGACGGGAGCTGCGAGCGCAGCACAAGTCGCTCCGGGCTGCCAAAAACCACCGAGCCTGTCCCACCGCTTCTTCGCCAGGGCCTTTGGGGTGGATGAATCGTTTCCCAGCACATCGTTTTTCCTGTTCCCTGCAGTGTTTGTTTCTCTCCGCCCCCTCCCCTGTACAAGAGCCTTCTCAGCACCTCTTCAGCTCCTTTCCTGCTCCGCCACATCCTCCCACCAGGACCTCCTGCCCCACTCGCAGAAATACAATTCCCAAGATACACCGTGTCCCCGCCTCCATTTTGAGAGATGCTCCCAGAAAATAATCCCCGAGAATCTGATGGAGGGCAGGCTCCAACCGCCTGCACGGGAACAGAGGCTGCTGTTAAATATTAGCCCACAGCACCACATTCCTTAAACAAGAGCTTTTTTGTTCAAAGAACGGGACAATTTTTGTCACGAGTCCTAATTATCTCTTCTCTGGAGGGTCTGTGTTACCGAGCTGCCTAACTGTGAGCTCTAAATCAAGTCTCCTTAAAAGAGCTAATAAAAGCCGCAGCCAGCTGGCAGAGGATTGCCTGGGCCAACAAACAGTAATCAACCACAAAAACCAGCTGTAGTAAAGGAAAAAATTAATCTAAAGCCATGAGCTTCTATAAATAGGACCTAATGTTTTATTTCCCCAGGAAGCAGTGGGAAAGCTGAAATGAGTGAAGGGCAAATCTGTTACTTGGGCAGCAAATGCCAGGCTGTCGCTAATTATTACGCTGGTTCCCCTGGTGAGGCGGCCCTTTGCGAGCAGCTCCCCAGCCCGGGCTGGCGTGGCCAGGGCAGAGCGGGCCGGTACCGCCCTGGCGGTTCCCCGTGCGGGCTCGTTCCCGTTTTATTTTCAGTGCCGAGCTGTGGATGAGGCTGTAATTGTGCGGGCACTGCGGGAACTCGCACTGCTCCCCAGCAGCCGTTT